AAATATTACTCAATTATTTCTCAGTGTGAGATATTGACCACTGAGCCATAATAAAATGTGAGAGAAAAGGATAGCATGCGATACTATTAGGCTGGTAATGTTTGAGTGCAAATATCATTTGTATTAGTGTAAATGCATGATAGTGTAAATGGGTTGAGTATAAATTCTGGTTTACTTTTTGTTTTAATCTTGACTTTGTCTTATTTATTTGTGATAAGTAAAATAGGAAGTGGTGTGATCCCCACTTTTTTTTCCCTGAAAGAGAATGCAGGCAAAATGAAATTATTTTTTGAGAGTAAGATAGGAAGTAAACATGGCATGCTCCCTATTTTATATAACAGAGAGTTAAGATAGAAGGAAGGTGGTGCAAATTTTATACCAGTTTATGTGATGTAATTTGCATTATCAATGAATGCAAGTTTTGCATCAAAAATGCAAATCATGGCGATAAATAAACAAACGCAAAATCCAATTAGGTCCAAAATTTATATCCAGATCGRTTTTCCACCGCAAACATTAGGAATTTTCCCTCAACTTTATATTTCTCTCTTATTTTYTACGAAACTAAACATAGCCTTAGGCTGTCTTTGGTTTGAAAGAAAAGATAGAGAAGGGAAGGGAAAAGTAATTGTATAGGTTTCCCTTTTGTTTCAAACCGAACACAGCCTTTGTGAATTAACTGTAGTAGAGAAATCCCCATACTATTTATCCTGTAAAAACGATTCTATTGGAGATGTTAAAATCAGTAAATGGTTCTAAACAGTAATGCAACTAAAGACAACGGTCCTTAGGCTCTGTTTGGAAGGAATACAAATACAAATATGTATTCCGTTCTACATATTTGTATTTGTACTCCTTCCAAACTGATCTTTAGGCTATGTTTGGTTGCAATGCAAATAAATTTGCGCTGATGCAAAAGCAYGACAGTGTAATTTCTGACATCTTTTTGTTTCAAATTTTAGCTTACTTTGTATGATTGCAGTACAAATGAAGTAAATTAAAACATGAAGYAGAATAAAGTAAAATCCAAAACAAAATTAAACAAGAATTTGCATTTTTTACATTTGCACTCCCGTGAATTTGTGCTAGTGCAAATAAATTTGCAGTGCAACCAAACACAGCCTTAATTGCTATAAGTGAGAAGGTGGAAAATAATAGCTGGTCCATAAAAGGTTAGTGGGAAGAGCTCGGGTTCAATCAGTGCAACGCTAGTTCGAACAGCCTTTACAGCCTTGCATTAGGAATATCTCCGTACATATATATGTGATTTATTTCATGTGGAGATATTCCCAATGCAAGGTTGCAAGAGGTTGTTCGAATGGTATGAGCACGGGCTTGCACTAACTGAAGCCGAACTCTAGTGGGAACCATATCAAGGCCATGGGATCCCTTGCAAGGAAAAACTCTGCACACATTCTAAAAGCAGAGGTGTCTGGCCACACATTAAGAAAATATCCCAATATTTAATATACATATACAATGTATGGGAGATGTTCACAATGTGATGGTAGATGTTATTTGCACAAAGTTTTTGATTTCAAGATATCTGAGCTCATATTCTAAAAGTAAGGGCATCTAGCTGCACATTAAGAATATCTCCCAATGAATTTAACATACATGTACAATGTATGGGAATACATGTATGGGAGATATTCCCATTGTACAGTTGGATGCTACTTGCAAAGATTTTGCTTTCAAGAGATCGAGGCTCATATTAGTGCACTCTATATAATATGGCTGGATTAGTTGCACTTGACAGATGCATTAATAGCCATGTTAGGGATTGTTTAATTAATAATAATGCCCCATGTCAGTGATAATGCGATTAGGAATGGCAATTTTCCCCATTTCCCCCGTGGTGATGGGGTTGGGGAAATTGTAGGGGTGTTCACGGGTCGGGTTGGGTCGATTTATTGGGGTTTTCCCAACCAACCCAACCTAGTCGGGTTACTTGAGGTGGAAACCAAAACCGACCCACTGATAGGCGAAACCGACCTAGTCGGTTTGAGTCGGGTTGGGTTGGTTTGGGTCGGTTTCGGTTTTGCTCCTATACAAAAGGACACCTAATTGAATTCTAATTGTAATTGCCTAATGGGTTGCCTATTTGGTGTAAAAGATTATAGAAAGTTAGAAACTATGATA